CCTGGTGTGGTGCTGTGGGATAAAGAACTGGACCGAAAGGTCGATTTGAACCACAAGGCTGGCAATTCAAGCTCACCAGCCACTCCTTGGAAACCTTATACAGGGTTGCTATGAGTCAGAATCAACTCGATGGCACTTAACAACAACAACAGTTGCTGCCTGCATTTCCTGGCTCACGGCTTCTTCTTCCATCTTCAAAACCAGCATCTTCCAGTCTTTCTCTGGCTCTTTCTTCCTGCCAACCTTTTCCACTTATAAGATGTCTTGTGATTTTAGTAGGTTCATCTGGGTGAACCTGATCTTGCCATTTCAGTATTCTTGATTTAAAAACATTTGTACAGTCCTTTTTGTCATTCACAAGTTCCAGGGACATCTTTTGTTGTGCCTACTATAGGGATCTTAGCCAAAGGTCCTGAGCTTTAAGATAGAACCAAGGTTTGACAGGAGTGGAAACAAAGATGTGCAGACTTCCATTCCAACAGGGGCCAGCACTGTGTTGGAGCCAGTGAGCCAGAAGCGAATGAATAACTCCATCAGAACTTCAGTGCCTCTGGGAGGAAGGTGGTGTCTGGAGGCACCACTTGACCATGAAGGCAGTCACTGACCTCTCTTGAATTTGTCACTCACTTCTCAGCATCAAGTAGATAGAGGTTCAAAGGCCAGCTCTGCCTCTTCCCAGCAGTGTGAGTGTGGCTGGGGCAGGGAAACCATGTGGGGTGGTGTTTTGAATTGAATTGTGCCCCCCTGCCCCAATATGTGCTGGAAACCTAACCCCTTGTGGATGTAATCCAATCTGGGAATCAGTTTTTGTTATTAGCAAGGTCATATCAGTGATCTTAACCCAATCACTTTTTTTTAAAAGAAGTTTTTATTATGAACTGAGTGATAGTTTCCATGGGAGAGCATCAGCTTTACACCATTGTTTCACTGCAACGATTACAATCTCCTCCATACATAATCATTCAACAGTATTTGCTTCCATTCCCTTTGTGTTTTTCTTTCTTTTTTCTTTTTTTTGTGGGGGGATGTACACAAAAACACTTAGGAATATACAATCATTTAAACAACCAAAGGGCACATTCTGCAAGCCTGCCTCCTAGCCTCCAGCACCCAGTCCCTCTCTTTCCATGAGTTTCAGCTGCTTCCTTTTTCCATGTCCCCATTTCAGCCTCCATATCTGGTGTCACTACTTCTCTGGATAAGGTCCAACATTCCACTTGTGTTCTTCTTCCTTGATGGTCCTAAAGGCCTCTGTTTCTAGACTGTAAGATTAACTTGTTGTTAAGTGCCATCAAGTCGATTCCGACCCATAGCGACCCTAAACAGGGTTTCCAAGGCTGTAAATCTTTACGGGAGCAGAAAGCATCATCTTTCTCCCGCGGAGCAGCAGGTAGTTTCGAACTGCTGACCTTGTGGTTCACAGCCCGATTCGTAACCACAATGCTACCAGAGCTCCTGTAAGATTAACTACTCCCTCGTTTTTGTTACAAAACTTCTACCTTTACAGTTGTCACAGTTACAATTAGTCGTGATAACAATTATTCACTATTGAATCATATGAATCTTATCCCCATCTCTTTTCACCAGACCTGTCTAGACAAGTTAACCCAATCACTTTTGAGAGAGATATATAAGGAACAGATGAGTCCCAGAAGCAAAGAAGTCCAGATGAAAAAAGAGAGGTACAGCTCACCAAGGAACCACGGCACAGAAGTTGAAGACAGACAAGGGCCTTCCCCCAGAGCTGACACAGACACAAAGCCCTGAATTCAGAATTCTTAGCCACCTAATCTGGTGTGTCAAGGAGCTCTGGTAGCATAGTGGTTACGAATCAGGCTGTGAACTGCAAAGTCAGCAGTTCAAAACTACCAGCTGCTCCACCGGAGAAAGATGAGGCTTTCTGCTCCCGTAAAGATTTACAGCCTTGGAAACCCTGTTCAGGGTTACTATGAGTCAGAACTGAATAGATGGCACTTAACAACAACAACAATCTGGTGTGGCACTGTAAGATAAGCACTGGAATGCTAACCACAAGGTTAATGGTTTAAATTCACAAGCTGCGTCTCAGAAACCTATACTGGGTCACCACTGTGAGTCAGAACTGACTTGATGGCACTTAACAACAACAACAAAACAAACTGTGAGAAAAGCCCTGACTCCTAACTTCGAGGACGGCGGTTCAAACCCATCAGCTGCTCTGGGTGAGACAGATGAGGCACTCTATTCCTATAAAGATTTACAGCCTCGTAGGGTTGCTATGAGTTAGGTGAAGGATAAATACTGGACTGCAAAGTCAGTTTGAACAGCAAGTTGGGTGCTTCAAACCCACCAAGTGCTCCATGGAAACCCCATACAGGGTCGCTATGAATTGGATTAGACTCAATGGCAGTTTTTTTTTTTTTTTTTGTAAACTGTGAGAAGACACATATCTGTGTGTTAAAGCCACCCATTTGTGGTATTTCTGTTGTAGCACCACTAGATAATAAAACAGGCTGGGAAGGGAGGAAGCAAGCAATGTGTCACTCATGACCTCATTTCATCCGTACCGCACCCCTACCAGTAGAGCTTCTGCTCTTAAGGGAGTGTGAATAACAGCTCAGAGACAGCAAGCGCTTCTTCCAAAGCCACGCAGCCTCTCCGTGGGCAGCCGCGCCCACACTCTGTCTGCGCTTTTGGCCTCATGCACACGCCTTCTTGGCCCTGGCTTTCTGAATGCTTTTCTTTACATTGCCTTCTTGCTTTTTTATGTAAGTGCATCTGCTTTAGAATGAGACTGTAGAGTATTCTCAGAAATGGAACATCACAGAATTCATGGGCTCGTTATGTATATTTTTATAATGTGCATTAAAAAACATTGATCACTATAAAAATGAAAAATGTTCATCCATACAAACCACATAAAATGTGCTCACATAGCATCAGTGGGGTGCTTCTCTCTCTTTGGGAAATGGCTCCAGACCGTTCTGGTTTTGCCAAATATATAATGTTACTAATGACTCCCCTTTATTGTAGGGATGCATTCTTAAATGGCTTCTTAGTAGGATCCCAATCAAACCAGCCTCAGGACCCTGCTATGTTCATATCCAGCCAGTCTGCCTTTGCTGCCCCTGCCAAGCCCACGCCCTCCTCAGGACCTTTGACCTTGCTGGCCCACCCACCACCAGATAGTCCCACTTCTGAGCAAGTTGAAGGGGACATTCATTCAGGTTTTCTGCAACGGTCACCTCTTCTGGGAGACTTCCCTGATGATGGAAAATGCCTACTTGATTTTCAAGCCTTGTTTCTTTTTCTTCACAGGTCTTGCTGCTATCTGATGTCAAAGAAGGGTGGTGTCATGCAGTGGTTCAGCGTAGGGTTCACAGTCCCATGGCAGCTTCTAGCTCCTACCCTGAAAGCCCCAGTTTACAGGGCTCCCTCAGTCTCACTGGCAAATAAAAAAGGGTTTGCTTCAGTTAATCAGTCACATTTTATGGGCCCTATGGAACAACTCCTGTGAAGACCTTTTATAACCTCTCCTGGGGCAGTAATAATGGTCTGGACTAGTGTCCAACACTAACTCCAACATCTCATATAAGGGTGGGGCTTATGGAAGGAAGCCCCCACTTGATTACCATTAGAAACTTTACATCGCAAGCAATGGCCGTTTCTGCACAAAGCAGGACTCCTAACAGGAAGCTTGCAAGTGCTTCATCATCTCTTCTTTTATTCCAACATGGATAATTTATCATCTGAGTGTGACAAGCTTATTGAAGAAAGCACTTGTTATTGAGTTATCACCAACTCCTGGTAGACCCATGTGTGTCAGAACAGAACTGTGCTCTATAGGGCTTCAGTTTTTCAGATGCAAATCACTAGAACTTTCTTTTGAGGTACTTTGTGTGGATTCGAACTTTCAACGTTTCTGTTAGCAGTTGGGCACATTAATCATTTGTGCCACCCAGGGATTCCTAACTTTCTTAGTATTGTCATGTTCCACGGAGCAGGTTATGTATGACTCACAGTGACCCTGTATTCCTCGGAAACCCTGTACAAGGTTGCTATATGAGTCGGAACTGACTCTACTGTCCAATAACAACAACAACAACAACAACAACAACAATTCATGGTTAATTTATTATAACATCCCCCAGAGTGAGGGGGAAAATCTTTCATTGTGCAAGTGTCAAACCCACACCGCGGGTTTGACTGAAGGTCTCCCAGATTGCTGTGAGGATTTAATGACTCACAGGAAGAACATCGCCTGGGGCCGGTGCATAGTTTGACCCACAGTGTTCTGTCCTGGTTGGGAACCCTCCGCCCCTCTTCCCTCTGAGCTCAGGGAGAACATGATTTTCTCTGCAGCTAGCTGTAGAGCTTGGACCACCACTCCAATGGGTGGATGGCTGTGGAACAGTCAGCTTGTATTCAAATTCGCATTCCTCCTCAGATGAGTTATATAACCCTGGATGAGTCATTTTCTCACTATCTACCTCAATTTCTTCCTCTGTAAAATGGGGATAAGAATAATATCTCCCTCAAAAAGGAGTTAATCCAGGAATGTGCTTAGAATGAGTCTTGGCATGTAGGGAATACTTATAGGACAATGACAGTTCTTGCAGCCAGCCAGATATGGGTTTGAATCTTACCACCAGCACCATTGCTGTATGATTCCGGGTGAGTGTAGGTTACTCTGCCTCTTCATCTGGAAATGGGTTTGACCCCGGCCCCTGCTTCCAAGGTTGGTGGCGAGCATTCAGTGAGCAGGGTGGCAGAAGGGCAGGACCTCTGTTGTAAGGGTCTGCCCTCCATGACAAGCCCCCCTTGGGGTGGTGGAGACCTAGTCAGTGGTTCTCTGTGGCAGGCTGTGGGCCTTCCCCCATCGTCCTTCCATCTGCCCCGCCCCAGTTGTGACGACCTTGCCCCTGCCTATCTAAGGGACAGGAAGGAAGTGAGGAGGACAGCTGGTTGCTTCCCCTTTTCTATCCCTACTCCAGGTACCCAGCTCCTTCCTCTTCAGCGCCTCAGAGGAGGGGACATCGAAGCCATGGCCCCCCGAACAGCTGCCATCCGCCAGACCTGCTGCTGCTTCAATGTCCGGATAGCCACCACCGCCCTGGCCATATACCATGTGGTGAGTGTCTGGCAGGCTCAGGGAAACCGTGTGTTTATGTGTGTGTGTATGACTCTGTGTGTGTTTGATTGTATGTGAGTGTGTGTCTGTGTAACTCTATCTCTGTGAATGCATGTGTGTAAATGTGTGTGTAACTCTGTGACTGAGTGAATAGCTGTGTGTGTTTGCGATTATGTGTGTGTGTGACTGTGTATTTGTGTGTTTACCTCTGTGAGTGTGTGTCTGTATATTTGTGTGTGTAACTGAGTGTGTGAGTGAATAACTGTGTGTGTTTGTGATTGTGTGAATGTCTGTGAGTGTGTGATTGTGTATTTGTGTGTGAGGGTGTGGTGTGTGTGGAAGAGTATCATAATCTCGGACTTACTGAGCCCCCCTCAAATGTGAGGACTACTGTTCACCACCTTTCTGTGGGATCCTGGGCAAATCCCTTCCCTACTCTGGGCCTCAGTTTCCTCTCTGCAAGTGGGGGTGGGGAAGGCAGCTCTGCAGTTGTCCCTGGTGCAGAGCAGTGGAGGGAGAGGCCCTCATCCTGAATTCTTACTGCGAGTTCTTACTACATCATTCATTCTGGAGTTCAGATTCGGCCTCTGTAAAATGGAGCAAAAGTACAGCCACAAGTGTGTCTGGAAGCAAACGAAATAGCGGGTGTGGCAGTGTTTGGGAACCCAGACTATAGAGAACTGTGGGCCTGAGGCTATTCCAGCGTGGGGGTGGGGGTCAGGTCCCTGGTACAGCTCCTGTGCTCCCCATAGGACCTGGACCTCCTGAACATTTGTGGGGACGAGAAGTGGGAGTGGTTCACGCAGGGAGAGGGGCCCGGAGCCCTTTAGGCTTACAGCTGGTTCCTATTGATTTCGGGCTTCTGCCCACCTCAGAAACACTGAGGCCTTGTGGCCGTGAGTAACTGTCCACAGCAGCTGTGGGCAACACTGAGGGACAGGCAGTTCCTCTTTGGGGGCTGATGGTGTGAGGCTTTGTTTCCACTGTAGCTCTGGCCAGTCTCCTGCCCTTCGGGCTGCAGGCTCCTTTCTTTTAAGGTGGTTAAAGTTGGGGGTCTCGGTTCTGTCTAATTCAACTCTTCCTCCCACCTCACCCCTAGATCCAGACCCCTTCCTCCTCAGGTGATTCAAGGCCTATGGTTAACGGTTCTCTCACTAGTCTGGAAGAACTTCCTCAAAACCAGCCTAACTCAGCAAGCTGCAGTCAGCTGTTGTCAACGGCTTAGTCCTGGCTGCATCTGCTGCCTGGGGCAGGCAGGGAGAGCAGGCTAAGGCGAGAGAGCAGCTCTCCAAAGAGCAATGCTTCCGTTTCCTCCTTTAATATGTGGGGATGAGAAGTATTATAATATCTACCTCATAGTGTTGTTGTGAGGGTCAAGGGTGTTTATATCAGGGACAGTGACTGGTGCATAGTCAGTGCTTAGCTGGTGCTGCTGTTATTTGGAGCTAGGAACAGGCCTGGGTTTGACTCTGGGCTCTGCTCCCATGAGCTGTGTTGACTCTGGGTAGTCACTGCCCCTCTTTGCAGCCCTGTCTCTCGTGTGTCCTGGGGAGAGTGACCACTACCCAAGAGCATTTAGGAAGTTAGGGGTGGAGTTTCTGGCACATACTCAGTACTCAGTCAGGGCACAGAGGAGGGCCTCTATTTGTTAACTGGGGACTGAGTGATGCAGAAGCTCTGCTGCTTGGGGTCCCTGATGTGTGACTGAGTTGGTGTTGGAGGTCTGGGGTAGACAAACACTAGAATTTTGGGGAGAGGAGACTCATGCTCACCAGAGACTGGGGAATCACTGTGAACCTCTCAGTAAGCCTGGCCTTACCCTGGCCTGCGTGCAAGGCCTTTCCCTTTGCAACCTCGAAACATGACAGGGGTGAGATGAACCAGCAGCCGGGGCCCACTACTTTGCTGTGAGTTTCTTCTACCTCTGCTCTGTCTGCAGGTGCCTCGCAGCCTGAGACCATGGAGTCAGGAGGAACCAGGGAGAGAAGAGCTAGGGTGTGCATGCCTGTGGTATGCGTGTGGTGTGTGTAATGTGTGTGGCAGGTGTGTTTGTGTTGTGAACGTGTGTATCTTTTTGTACATGAATATCCTGTGTGTGTGTTTAATGCCTGCCGTGTGATGTATGTGAGGAGTTTGTGTACATGTGTATATGATGCGTGTGGCATGGGCATGTGTGATATGTATGTCATGCGGGTATCATATATGCATGTAAGATGTAACGTGTACCATGCATTGCACATCTGTGTGTCTCATGCCTGCTATGTGATTTATGTGAGGAGTTATATAGTGTGTACATGTGTGATATGAGTATGAATCATGTGGGGTGTGCACATGTGATATGTAGGTCATGCATGCATCATGTATGTATATAAGCCGTGATGTGTATCATGTTGTATATCTGTGTGTTTGATGCCTCCCATGTGATATATGTGAGGGTGTTTATGTAGTGTGTGCACATATGATATGTGTATGCTGTATGTGGCCTGCTGTGGGATATGTAATGCATGTGAGATGTATGCTGTGTGTGGTTGTGGTGTGTTTCATGTGTGTTTGTATGCTGAGTTCAGTATCTGATAAAGGGAGCAGGCAGCCAGCCTTTTCACTAGAAATGCGTGTGACGTGAGTTTGGGTGGGGGTTCAGTAAAGTGTGAGAGTCCTCGCTGTGCCTTCCTGGGAGTGCCGGTCCCCCACTGCTCCCCTCACTGTGGGCTCTGTGTGCGTCAGACATGTCTGAGTCACGCTGGTGGCTGTGTGTTCTGCTGTCAGGAAGAGCTCCAAGGCCCTTGCCCCTCTCCACAAGTTTATCACTCCAAGTTCTTATCACCTCAAGGCGAGCGTGACCCTGAGGGAGCTCCAGGACACTGGGCCATCCCACACCATGTCTCCGGGACCTCTGAGGGACAATGTGGTGTGTTAGGTATATTTGTAAGTAAGCACAAGTAAACCTGAGCTTCCCTTGCTGATTGGGTAATCCACCCCTATACCTATAATGTGAGCCACGGGAAGCCATGGAATGCTTTAGAACAGGAGAAAGTGTGAGAACAGAAGAGAAACGTGGACGCTGCTCCACTGGTCCAGGCCCTCAGCTCTAGGCTGGAGCCCTCCAATGATCCCAGGAGGAGACCCTCTTCCTGTCCCCTTGGTGAGAGGTCTCTGTTCCTTCCCGGAAAGGGCTGGGACTTTCCTGGGGCACAGGCTTTGGGTGGCAGGTGTGCTGACAGGCCCTTAAACATCTGGGTGGAAAAAAGAAGCTGCTCTCTAGATGCGTCGATTACTCAGGCTGTTGTGTCATCTGGAGCCAGCCATGGGCGACCACCCTACACATTATGAGCTATTTGCGGACTTGTCTCCTCTGGGGAGCTCTAAATCGGGCTTCTGGGTGTCCTGAGACGGTGCTCCGCTTTATGAAGCTTTGGGGGTGTTACCATGGGAAGATTCTCATGTGTCCGGTGAAGAAGCTGCAGCTTCCTCAGACTCCCTCTGGGTTGGTGTAGAGGACTCTATGTGTCACATAGGAAAGAACTTTCTTAAGTTGACTTCTTTAGTCCTGGCTTGCCTATCCACCCTCACCTCTCCTCCCCAAGATGCCTGGAACTCCACCACTAGAAATTCATTGTCTGGATCAAAAACTTATATAGCTGCTATGATATCAACAACACAGAAAGAAACTACATCACAACAAGAGGGGAGGAAATGTGGCAGATGCTAACTGTGGTTTTCTCTGGCTTTACAGCTCTCATTTTTTCCCTTCCTCGTCTACTTTTCTGTTTTGTTTTTTTTTTTTTTTGTATTTGGTACAATGTGCATATATGACTTCTTTTAAATACACTTTAAATTTTAGAACAGCTTTAGATCTCAGAAAACTTGTGGAGTTTTAAGTATAAAGAGTCCCAATATAGCCCACTTGTCAATTCCCCTATTGCTAGTAACTTTCACCCATCACAATGAATGAACCGGTCCTGATCCTTTATTATTAACTAAAGTCATATTTACTTGTTACCTGCTCTTGAGTAGGTCCCTAACTCATGGTGACAATATGCACTATGGAATGAAATGCTACCTGCCATCACCACCATTGGTTGTAAATTAGAATGTTGTGACCCGTACGGTTTTGATTGGTTGATTCTTTGGAAGGAGATTGCTAGGTCTTTCTTCTGAACCAATTACTGTGGAGTTGATTCTGATTTATGGGGACCCTATGTGCGTATAGTAGAATGGCACTCTATAGGGGTTTCATTGGCTGATTTTTCAGAAGGAGATTATCAGGCTTTTCTTCCAAGGTGCCTCTGGATGGACTTGAACCTTCAACCTTTCATTAAGTGCTGTTTGTACCACCTTTCCTTCGTTTTCCAGATGTCCATTTTCTGGTCTAGGATCCCATCCAGGAAACACAATGCATGTAGTTATCACGTGTCTTTGGACTCTTCTTGTTTGTGACAGATTCTCAAGCTTTTCTTGTTAGCTAACATTGAGGAGGATTGGCCAGGCATTTTGTAGAATGCCCCTCTGTTGGGATTTGTCTGATGGTTTTCTCATGATTAGATTAGGCTAATGGGGCCTTGGGGAGGAAGACCACAGAGATTCAGTGTCCTTCTCAATACCTCACATCCAGGGTACATACTGTCAACATAACTCATTAGTGTGGAAGCGGCCTTGACCATCTGGCTAAGGTTGCATTGTCAGGTTCCCCACTTCCCATATTGTATTCTTTGTAACAAAGCTGCTATGCAGAGCAGAGTCGACACTTAGCCAGAGGGGCATTCGGCTCCACCTCCTTGAGGACTACAGAACTACATAAATTATTCGTAATTCTTCTGCATAGGAGATTTATTTATTTATTCAACATCCAATCAGCACAGAGTCATGACCATTTGTTTTATGCTTTGGGTTATAATCCAATACTACTTCCTCTTGTTGCTCATGTGCATTCTTTTTAAGTTGGGAGAATAATATTAAGCACCCTTTATTATTATTATTATTTTTAAACTTTTTGTTGTGAA